TCGGTCAAAACCGATTGCAGATTCATCTTCTCCATGGTTGATTATGTGGTACGCGATAACTTCTGGATCGGGGTACTTCAGAAAAAATTTTCGACATCGTTTTGCCTTTGGTCCCATACGGTAACATTTTGAAAAAGTTTTGAGCAAGACCATGGGAAAATTTTTTTCTAAAGTACCCCGATCCAAAAGTTACTGCGTACCACATAATCAACCATGGAGAAAACGAATCTGCAATCGGTTTCGACCGAACAAGCTTTTGAAATTTTTCGATCCGGCGATATGGTAAATCGTTCTTATCTTTTCCCAAATTTGAGAGTAAATCGTACATATTTTTTTCACAAATTGGGAGTAAATTTGACCAAATTTTTTAAAAAAGTATGGGGGGTAAACCGAAAAAGAGCATAGGGGTGTACGGAAAATTTTTGTCGCCACTGTAAGTCATGAGACCAGGGTGAGAAACGGAAACGGATCTTTGAAACTGAAGAACAGTAACGGATAAGACTTTGTTACACTGTGAGAGGATGCTGATTCCAGCGCATACAAGGTTATGTGTCTCGATAAAGAGAACTGATACATATAGAAAGAGACAAAAAGAACGCATGATAGCTCTATGGTACAATGTAATCATGATAATTTAACAATTATTTTCTCTCAAATGAAGGCAGTGACGAACATCATAATTTGTTGATATATACCTATAAAAAGTCTAAATTTTATACGGTAACCGTTGCTATATCAGTAAAGAATTTCATGAAAAACTTATATCCACAAGAAATCCTCTTTCTGATATAACGTGATGTCAACTTAAGTCAGAAGCATATTCGACAAACTAAGATATTTTTCAAAATCCTTTAGTGGAAATCATTTAATTACATCTTATCTAGAATATAACAAAGGTCTCTTAGTTTGCTCTTAAAACAAAGAAAAGATTTAAAAGATTTTAAACAGTTAGTAGTTGATACTTCAGTCTGTACTAAGGTATTTGTTTCTGACTGATCTCTGGAAAGGCCAAATGCAACAAATCTGATAAAATCCTTCCAGAAAAAGATGTTTAACCCTGAAATGATCTACTGTCACGTTCCATATTACAAAACTACTGCATCAGTTCGTTACTTTTAGATTCTTTAGGCTTGTTGAACTCGAAAATCCAGCATGAATTCGAATTATGCTACGAATGTAGACACTATTAACAGTCCACGTGATATTGCACTTCATGCGCTATTTGAAAGTCGTATAGAAGCTCGACAAGAGCGAAATGATCAGTTCCAATTTGACGTCCAGCAAGTGTCTGCTGGCAAACCATTATCGAACGAAACATTAGAAAACGGAGAACAGAAAACGTTAACTGATATAGGGTCGCTTGAAAATATAGATTGTCGAAATGATATTGTTTCTACTATTGAAGAGTATTTAAAAGACTTGGATGAACAAGCCAAACTCCTCGGAATCGAAAGATCTTCAACATCGATCGCCGAAGAGGAACGTGAATTTAGTCAACATTACAAGACGAATAATTATCCTAAAACTCCTAGCAATATTTTAATTCAAACAACAACTCTAGCTCGTTTATCAATGGTTTTAATCACTAAAGGTCTTATGTGGGCTGCCAATCATTTAAGTCAAGGTGGGAAAAGTTTTCCAAATTTTTCATCCGTCATTGCCTATCTACGAGAAAGCCATCGTGAAACACATATACCAAATCATCTTCTTCTCGAATGGGAAAAAAATATTTATTTGCTTGACTTGTTTGTCGTTGATGAATCACTCTATTGCGATAAACGGAAAGCGGCCGATATGTATGATATTTGCAGTGAAACGTACGATTGGATTAAAGTTTTATTCATATTGTACAAGGATAAATCAGAACTGTTGTTGCCAATTATATAGACACGATCAAAATTATCGAAGATACTGTCTTGATTGCTTGAGCTTTCTTTATGTTATTGAAGCTTTCTACGCACAACAAATACTAAAATACAGAGAAATATATCAAGAGGAAGTATTTTTAATTCTCTACAAGCAATACTTATTAGAATATGTTGCTCTTTCATCTTTTCATTTTTATTCCGCGTGCAACACGCTTTTTTTTAATTAATAATTTAATTTTTTATTAACAAAGCAGTATAAGAAATCTATGAATTTTGCTTGATGGTACTACCATCGAAGAAAATAACAGTATTAGTAACACTAAAATCAAGTGACGATGAAATTGATATCATTCTATCAAAAACCATGACATTCAGCCTCGCCAGAGAACATCTCAAATCATGCTGAAGATTATAATTATCTCATAAGACTTCTGAAAAATTTTGTTGATTCTAAACCAAAGGGAGAGGATGATATGTACAGAATAAATTCAGCTTTACTAAAATTTTTCGAAGAAATTCAATTATCACTAATAGCAGACTCAACAAAAGTCAAATCAACTACTCAGACTGAATGGAGACAACAACAGACTACCATTAAAGATGAATGAACTGTAGTTGGTCATAGAAAACCTCCAAAAGTGGTTCCATTAACAGTAGTTCAAGGACCAGTAACAAAAACATCACCATCAGACACAAAAGCTTTGAAATTCTCCATTGGCATAATCAATAACGCATGTAATACAAAACACCCTCCGACTCTTGTTAAATGTAGCCCGAAACGCCAACAACAGCACAAAGCGAGACAGTTAGTTCAAGATATGTTGAAAAAGAATGAAGTCCAGTTCCAAAAGGATAACCCAGCTTATGGAAAACCACTAGCCTTTGCTCATTGGAAAATCAATAATTATGGTGATTTGTTGTTGTTCTCAAAGAATATTGGCGTTTTCTTTTTCTGGTGTTCTGGGAAGAGCTACCAGGATATTTCGAAACAAGTAAAATTAGAAGTAAAACTTCCATAGTGCCTACCACCACAAGGATCTGTCATTGTTAAAGATATTAAACAGACTGTTTCTTAAAAAGAAGCATATCATGAAATAATCAACGCATTTCCGTCAGCTTATATTATATGGAACAATATATGGTAGTAATAATGATAAAAGTCGTCAGCTTCTGATAAATATCGAAAACTTTTGGAACTACGAGAGGCCATTATTTATGGTGAAACACATGACTCTACCGAGTATCTTCCACCGAGTATTACAATCTCTGTTGGGGGACCACACAGTGGGCATCCAGGCGGACATTAGGCGAAAAATTAAAGTGGCTCATTTCTTTAATGTAACTAGTGCAAAATGTAGCCCTTGAAATTCTCTATCGAATGGTGTATGGATGTCTATTTTGATGT